TTTTTTTTTTTTTTTTTTTTGGAATTTTCAGTTTTTATCAAACGTTTCAAAAAATTTCTTTAAGAATGGCTAGTAAAAAAAATTGTGTTCGAAAAAACCCTTTACTTTTTATACCAAATGTCTGTCCGTTACCCTGTTTTCCTTCCAAAACAGCAATTAGACTTGATGACCAAATCGCACATTCAAAAAATATCTAAATATAGCTGAAGCGCTCAACCCCAAAACATAACAGGCAAAAACAATTGGCTATACTTGTCTTGGCGACCATATTGTAGTCGCGCTCGGAATAACCTCGCCCCACTGCGCTGTGCGGTTAGTCTCTAAACATTAATGTCTTCATTGCCTTACCAAAACTTCTTTACCATCTATGCTCTGTGGGCACAACTCGATTACCCGCAATCACATTCCCTATGATCAAGCAGACTTACGCACCTAAATCGCACAAATAGAGCAAAACCTCAACAAAACGGAGTTATGAAACTTCGGGACCGACATTATGAAAAAAATGAAAGTAAAAATGACCAAACAACCAGTTCCAGATGCGCTTTTAAAATCCTGTTGTTGAAAGAACTGATTTCTGACTCATCACCCCCAGACCTCTCCTGCCAATTCTGTTACGCAAAGACCCGATCCTCTGCGCCAGTTCCTGCATAATTTAGTTAGCTAATCCGAATAAATTCTGTATATCACTCTTTAAATAATTCCTTCACTTAAGGCTTATCAACCAGTCAATTTGTTTTGCATAACAGACAAGCGAAACTCCACAAGTCACCCCCAACACAGCAAAAATCTAACTTTGCAAGGTAACCAACACAAGACTTCCCCCATAAAACCGCGTTTTTATGAAACAAAGTAATCGATGCAGCATTCCATCGGTGCAGCCAGTACTTTCAGTTGTGAGCCACCGTGTGCAACTCGCAAAAATTATCTTCTGTTTGGAACTCTTGTCGTGTACCATACAGAAAACGCCTGTGTGAGATCATCACCGCAGTAATGCTTTTTCAAACTACCCTCTCCACAAATTCAAGTGCACGAAGAAATAAGAAAAAATTGAACGTTGCAAAATCATATTCCCATTGTGTATTACTCACGTAAACAAAATAACCAGATCACGGCTAACTTATAGATACGGTAAACATATACATACAAAAAGGGAAGCAAACAAGTAGAAAACAATCAAATCTTATTAGTCCTTCCAACAGTTCTCAAGCCCTCGTCTATGGGAACTACCCAATGATAAATTAAAAGCAAGAACACAGATGATTTCACTTAAAGCAAAATTCACTGGCAAGTTAATAATTCAGTAATGCAGCTAATACAATATTTTTGAAACACTAAGATGCCCTGCAAATCAGAAGCGCGAGTTTTCTGAATTAGTGAAGCGAAGAACCAAAAATAAAAACAAGGGACACGCAATAAACCATGAAAGAAATGAAAATCACTCAAAATAGCAACAGTTAAAAATATTTTAAAGACGTCCTGATTAATTACTAGAACCGTCTTTTCCGCGAAAACACACACAGCAGCAACAACAACAAAAACAGCAAACAGAAAGAATGCAAGAAGCATAACCAAAAGTAGCGTAAACAAAAGAAAATAAATATGTAAACTGATCACAATGACGTGGACTTCGCTCATCATCGTAATTAACTTCATGGTACACGCTGTACACCCAAAAAGTGCCTGCAAATAATTTCTACATCACCAGTAACAGTTATTTCTAACTTCAAAACAACTTTACAAAATATCACTTAATTCCTAGATAGCCTAATATGAACAATTTTCATAGTTCTTTTTTGAACAACTTTTATCTGCCAAGAAACAGCCAGTTACAAAGAAACCCACACAAATGACACTGTTACTAAATTGGGTTGTCTGCAACTATAACCTACGATATCATTAATGGACAGGTTTTTTCAAAGCTTATGCCTCTAACTCTTAATCTCAATTAGAAGGTAAAGAAACATACCAATTACAAACCAAATGACCGAAAAAAGTGCACAGATTGAGAGAACAAATTTGAAAGGATTTCTGCAACTTTTAGGCATTTCTTGATCAGGTGGTGTTTGCCTATGCAACCTTTCTTTATAGACTTTCATACGAAAAAAATTAATTGCACTCTTCAGCAGGAATGCAGCGCCACCAACTACAAGCCAAACAGGAATCATCGGTTTCACTTGGCAGTCATGAAGATTAATGGAGCCCAGGACAATCATGAAGAGTGGAATTATGTTAAGAAATGCTATGGTAACTGCCGCAGTTACTAAAAATTTTTGCAAAATTATTCTTTGCATATACAGTAATTATCACACTATTGATAAAACGCTAGATTCGAAAAAAGATGCTGTCATGTAAATTTTTTAAAGTAATACAT